GATTCATGCCACGTGCAAGGCGCGTGAACCATGGTTGCGCGACACCCAAAACAACGAGCTGGTAGTTACTCCAATGCGTCCGCTTGCGATTGATACTTTGGGTGAGTCGATGTATACCTATGGTTCGCGTATTTCAAGTTAGTGGAACGCTGACGACGTGTTCAAGGACGATGGGATTAAAGCAAATCTAGAACTTTGCACCTTGGTCACAAGGAGCGAGTAAACCGGTACCTCCCATTGCCTAAAAATGGCGACCTAGAAACGACTGTGTAACTGCACCAACTGTATATACATATCGTCTGCTCCTCATCGACTCCCTAGCTCTCTAGCATGACGCTTTGGGAGTACTACCCCATCCTCTACGACTTACCCAGCACCCAAACCTCCCCATTGCTCGATGTATCACTCGTCATGAACAATCTCCCCTGCGAGTCCCACGCCAAGCCCGCAGGCCTAAAGCACCCAGAGCTGAAACTCGGTCCATTACCTTGGCACTTCTCCACAGCCGGGTTGTAGAAGATGTCCTGAGCCGCTGTGGTACTAGTAAGAGGCTCAACCGGGGTGTAGTTGCCGTCTGCACCGATCTTGAACTTCACAGCGACGAGCTTGAATCCGGTGACGGGTGTGCGGTTCCAACTACCGTGGTAGGTCACATACATGGTTGTGCTGTCGGCGTCGAATTTGCAGTCGATGGGTGCGGAGTGAGGGAATAGCGTAAGCTTGGGAGCTGTGGCTGTCTGGACGCAGGTATCGTCGTTCATGTTGGTGCTGGGCTGTTGGACAAACCAATCGCCTACTTTGAAGGCCTTGTCGGTGAAGTCGCTGGGCTGCCAGACGGTAAAGCAGGACGGGTAGCCGTACCAGTTGTTGTTGGGCTTGGTCACGTCTCCCATGTAATGGATCTTCTCGCCAGGGTTGTTGAAGTGGATATCTTTGCCGTTACGCTTGAAGTCGTCGCCGCTGTTCTCTACGCCCCAGAGCCTGTAGCATTGTTAGTATCATCACGCGCGCTCATACAAGTGAGGCTTACATGTTGTTCTTGTCGAAACAAATTCCCACGTCGTTACGCTGACCGTAGCCAGCGTTGTATCCGCCAGAGACGTAGTTATAGCCTCCGCTTGGGATCTTTGACAGATCGAAGACCTTGATGATGGCACGCGCAGTCTTGGGATCCGACGTAGCAGCGTCAATGTTGGCATTGGAGCCATGGGAGACAACCAGCAGATTTGGGTTCTGTGGTGCGAGAGCAAGAGTGCGGGTCAAATGGGAGCCACCGTTGTACATGCCAGTGATGATGGTTGTTCGAGTACCCAGTGTCCCGGCAGCAGCGTCGTATGGCCAGGAATAAGCTTGAGTCATAGAACTGGCATACAGTGTCTTTCCGTCAGGACTCATTGCAATGCCGTGGTTCAGGTTGTTCTGCGAAACCAGCATCTTTGTAGAGGCAACACAGCCATCCGTACCCATTTTATGGTACGAGATACCTTTTCCAGACTGGACTACCAACATGTTACCTGCCCCATCGAATTGAATGCTACGAGGGGCAGTCAAGCCTCCGGCGACCTTTGTGGCCTTCCATCCAGAAGCAAGACTTCCCTGGAATGTGGGATTACCGGCACCGGAGCACGAGGCTGGAATGGCAGCAGGCGCTGCTGGCTTTGATGTCGGAGACGCTACAACGCTTGTCACGACGGTGGTCGGGTCAGCGGAAGGACTGGCTATGGGCGCCGTCAGCAGATTAGCATTGACCAAGGAATCAAAATTCTCGATGCGTGCAGCGTCCAGATTGTGGATCCATTTTCCCCAGGCCGCATGGACGTTGAATGCAGAATCATTTCTGGCAGGGTCCTCGACCGAAGAGACGCCGTAGGCCCAGGCAAATTGTGTTGTACCGGTGCCATTCAATGCGTATCTTTCATCTTCGTTGTTTTGCCATCCAGTGCAGCCTTTGCACAGTGCATTGACAGTCCAATGTGTAGCGTTTGTCTTTGTGCCTTTGAGGTAGCTGTGCTCGGCGCCATCGTATCCAAGCGGTAAAGCAATACCACTGTGGGATGTTAGAATCGTCATCGTCAAACTGGGTATGCATCATACAAAGCGAAGCGAGCAGATATCGTCCCGGATTGACCGTTAGGCCAAGCAACGCTCAATGGATTCCAGACCATATTGCCACCCCATGAGAAGCCGACCCATTGATTGGCAATTGGCGCCGTGATCCTGACGATGGCATCATACGGGTCTGTAACGTTCTTCGGAAGAGCAACACCAAACGTCATCCCTGTTTCAGGCTCCGTGTACGACGAGTAACTGATCTTCGTTTCTGCATCGTAGACAACAGTAGACTGTGCCTCACCTTCTTGAGCAAAAGCTTCGTTCTGTCAGTATCAACGGCTAAGGCGGACATTGAACTCACCATAACCAGCAAGTGCCGCAGCACTGCCAATAAGCTGGGTGTAGCGCATAGTGGCGGGATCTGTGGATAGATGGGCGTAGCTATACCTCCTTGACTGTCACCCAGTAGGCCTTTCCCAACTCTTTATGCGGCCAACTCCAACATTTATCGTGGCCACAGAGCGAGCCACGAGCCATGCGGGGACATGATTCGATCTCGTCAATCTGTAATTTGCTTTCATTCCTCTGGTATGTCTTAGATGAAAATGTTGGAGAAAGGCTTTGGGAGGTCATATCGAACCACCAATCAATGTACTCGGATTTACGATATGTGACGAACTGCGTACACCAGGACGATCGATTTGTAGTTTCTGCATCGCGGGTAAGTTTCAGCCTGAGTACAGTGATGAAAATGGCAGGTTGATAGTCAGAGTCAGGTGTTGACATGGAACGATTGGTCAATGAAACTTGGTTATATCAATTTTGATGAGCTGGAACCGCATTGTGACCCGGAACAATACTCGCGATATCCAGTACTCGCCCATGCAGTGTTACTGAATGACGCTAAGACTTGCAAGACCCTGGACAAGCGACGGCAGTTGGCACGCGACGCAGAGCCGGGATATAGATTGGTGGGGAGCTTCTATTGTTGCCTCGTCGGTATTGTGTGGATGGTGTTGCATTCTTCCAAATAGCCCGGGATCATTAGCGAACTCAAACGTGTGGGGAGCCTGTCAGAACGTTGAGATATCTAGACGTCGAGATAATCAGCTACCCTGACTTAGTATCTAGCTTGTGGATCGACACGTCGATTAGTAACTCGAGAGGGAGTATTTGCGCAGTAGGATCCGTTTTCTCATCCAGTCAAGCTTCGTATTTCAACATCGTAAGTTATGGTACAATTTTCATCGCACGACGCGCTGCCTGCATTTCGTATCATCTTTCTGGTAGTGCTTATACACGAGCCTTGTTCATGTACGCGTTTCCAAAAGTCCACAGGCCAAAGGTCGCGAGAATGCTCAAACCGATAGGCAGCGGCTTGCCAGACTTCATTGCTCGAGGAATAGAGCTGCCAGCGAGGATAACGGAAGCAAGAAGAGCCAACTCAACACCGTACGCTGCGCGGCTGTTGACACGGTAACCACCGAGCATGTACTATTGTTTGTTAGATGCGCGCAAGGTGGTGATGCATGTGATGTGAGGTCATACCAGAAGTCCGACAGTGCATCCAGCGACGACCGACGGGATAGATCCGGTCCTCACATAGCCGGTGATACCGCCACCAGCAGTGAGAGCACCCAGAATGAGAGCGATGTTTCCGAGAGAGCCCTGAACCTCCAATTAGCATCCATTGCACACCATGACTCGCGCGTGACAGCAATTGGTGATCACGTACCATTGTCGCGTCGTGTTCTGTTATTTTATCGTGTGATTCGTGAAATGAATTTCGAGCAGTCGCGTGAATACGTGAGGTCTGGAAGAAAGAACTGAGGATGTAGAAGTTTCTCGTAGAATGCTGAGAGAGAAGGAAGGCTGGACCAAGTCCATGCCATGATTTGCGGGGATCCAAACGGACACCCGAAGGACACCGAACCGCCGACGCGGTCGGTCGTCGTACCCCAGAGCTCGGACCATCTACGAACATCTGGCCTCAAGCTATCCACCAGCAGCAGCAGCATCACCACTGCACGTCATCTCCCAATTCCACTTCCAACACCGAAAGTCTCGACACACATTCTCGAGACGTCACGAAAATGGCACCAAAACAGCGCACCACCGCCCCAACCGGCGCCCCAGCTACAACCACAACTACAACAGCTACCCCATCAGCACCTGCTCGCTCTAGCAAAGCAAACAACACAGACGCCGCCGCCATTGCGCAGGGAATATGGAACAAATACGTCGACAAGACACCCCAGCGAACCAAGCTGCTCGATACCTTCCTCGCTTTCCTCGTCATCGTCGGTGCTCTGCAATTCCTCTACGTGGTCTTGGTTGGAAACTTTGTACGTCCTCAATTCTCCCATCACATGTCCAATTTCCACAGTTCCTAGATCCTGAGTACGATGAGATTGGAAGAAATGATATACGAATTGCTCGCTAACGTACATGGAAACACAGCCTTTCAACGCCTTCCTCTCCGGCTTCAGCGCAACCGTCGGCCAATTCGTCCTCACAGCCTCGCTGCGCATCCAGACAAACTCGGAGAACAAGGTGCACTTTGAGAATATCTCGCATGAGCGGGCGTTTGCGGATTTCGTCTTTGGCAGTTTATTGCTGCACTTCTTTTGCGTCAACTTCATCAACTGAGCGGGAGATTTGCGGCGTCGAAGAACAAACCAGGGGAAAGGAATACGACAGAGGAGGATACCAGGCGGAGTGACATCTGTGCGATGGGTTGACAATACTACAAAAGAGAGGTCTAGGAATTGGACATGTGTAAGAATAAGAGGGACCAGATGAGGCATGGATAGCCCTGCATTTGGTGGTAGGATATATTCAGCAAGGAATGTCCCGCTATATCACAAAACGACTGCCCCATCAATACAAGAGCAAGACCACAAGCTATCATTCCAACACTCAATCTAGTTCACCACCCACTCCACCTCTCATTTATCCTTAGCATAATCCCCCAGCCCAAATTCCTCCCTAACCGCCTCCCCCAACCTCCTAATCCCCTCCTCGATCTTCTCCCCCGGCGCCGCCGCATACGTCGCCCTAAAGAACAGCGTATCGTGCTCTTCCTCCGCATCCGCATAGAACCAACTACCCCTCATGACCAGCGCCCCATGTTCAATAACGCGCATAAAGATACCCTCTTCAATACTCTCAATGCTCTTCTCAGGGTAACTAGGATGTTTCCGAAAGTCGACCTGCATCCAGTGGAACATACCCGCCATAGGAGGTTTCCAGCTCATGACTTCAGTAGGGAGGTATTTTGTGCATGCTGAAAGAATGATATCGCGGCGGTGTGTGTATTGCATGCGCATGTGGATGAGCCAGTCGAGATAGCCTGCGTGGCCCCAGTGTTCATCTAGTAGTTTGAACAAGATGAGTTGCGACATGCCAGCGGGGTTCTGAGTCGACACATCTGCGTGTTTGGAATACCGTTCTACGACTTCGGCGGGCGCGGTGATCCAGCCGATTCGCGATCCGGGCGCTATTACTTTGGAGAAGGAATCGAAGCGGATTACCCGCCCGTCTGTGTCGATGGACAGGTAGCTGGGCACGAGAGATTTGATGAAGTCGGCGTGGGATGCTGGTGGCGGGACGGACGGCGCGTTCGCGCCGGTATAGGGTTGCATTTGGAGGAAGTAGTAGGGTTCGTCTTCTAGGATGTGGATGTCGTGCTTTTGGCAGACTTTGTAGAGTGCGTGCCGGCGCTCTGCGCTCTGCGTTGCTCCTGTCGGATTCTGACCTGTTGGGACGGTATAGAGGATATGGGGTTTTCGTGCGCCGCGAGCTGTTTGGTCCCAATTTGTGAGAAGAGAGTCCATCTCGTCAGGTAGGAGACCTTCGTTGTCGATGGGGACGCCGCAGACGCGCACGCCCATTGGTCGGGCGGTCTCTACAAAGGCAGAGAAGGTGTATTCTTCGGATAGGATCATGTCGCCGGGTCGGGTGAACATACGAAGGCACATATCGGTCGCGGATGTGCTTCCAATGGTCATGGTGCACTTCCAGTCCTCGTATGGCGGATCATGGATCAGTTCAGTGTGCTCGGTCATGAAGCGGAGTAGTTGTGCTGAACCAGATCCCTGGCCATAGTTGAATGCAGTAGCAATGTCGAAGTTAGACTTGTTCTCCGCGAGGTCATGTTTGCCCGCGGTGATAGTCACACCAGACTCCCTAGTCTCAGCTTCCGAGAAGTGACCAATCGTGGGGACCTTGATTGACAATTCTTCAAAGGGAAAGTACTCGCTAGATGGTAAACCGCCGCCGAGAGATATTATGCCGGGTGTACCAAGATATTTTGCTGCTTCTTTGAGAGAGTTGCCTTTCCGGATCGTGGCTTCCTTGGTCATGATATCTATTTGTATAGGTCAGCCATGTAGTCCACGTCGAGAAAATGCTGATTGAAAACCGTATGAACTTACGACTCCATCGCTTGGCTTTGGCCTTATGATCGTGAGACTTGAGTCTGAAGTTTGCCGTGTCAGATGGCGCTGCCACACCCCATTGAGCCGCAGTCGTCTTCTTTCTTCTTCCAAGAATCTCGTTGCTCAGAACCGGCGCGCTCAACGGGTTTGGGATAGTAACTCCAGACGTATCCGAAACCGCGGAGACTTCGACTGCTGAAGGTGGTGACATTGTGGTATACGGTTCAATCTCAATACTTCTTTGCACTTTGTCCCGAGATTCTTCTTTGTTTCCCTATTCCAACATTCGATGCAAGGTAGAAAGTAATGACAAGTCTGTGGATGAGTTCAAGCCTTTAAACCTCACTTGATCAGCATCAGCTATCAGCTATCGGTTATCGCACGCCCTACATATGTAGTCAGTCTAAGGCGTGCAGGTGGATCCCTCAGCCGCCAACGTGCATCATGCCTACCCATTCGGGTAGCGGCTAGCCACGGTCTGGGGAAGCGCAGCAAGCGAGTCCACCAGGAACATCCGCCAAGGCCATGCAGACACCTGTATAGCACGAGCCACGCGCCCTTCGCATGTACATTCACTGCGATGTGCATTCCCACATAATTGAGTCGATACGTGTCTATTACGAACGCGTACCATGGAATCCGCATATCTAGAGTACCGCAAGGGCCGGACAAGAACGGATAGTTGTGAGGTAAAGCTACGTAAGATGCTGCAAGACATTGGCCAATCGGCGCTTTTATGGCAACCGCGCTGTCACGAGACGCGTTCGGAGCAACAAAGCCGTCGAAACCCGTGATGGACTGACATCTGATGCTGGAATCAGCTGCCGTTGGCTGCAGTCTGTGCCAGCTAATATCGTATCCAGGGAATATTCATCTTTAGTCGAAACGAGGGCTATGAACTTGCAATAGCAATAAATACAGCGCAAAAATACTGAACATAAAGTCTTTGAACAGAAACGACCTGCTTGTAGTCGTCTGTGTCTATGATTGAGTTGAGTCAAGCTCTGAGCTATAGAAAGTCATTACGATGCATCATGCAATTACCCACTTTATCCACCTCAGCTTTTACGAGATGTAACTCCATCAGACATGTTATGACATGACGAGACGATGCAATAGTGTCGACCTCCACCAGGTATGCTGACAAGACCTCGACGCTCAGTCCCAAGCGGCGGTATGCAAAGGACAATGCACCACAAACGCCGTATATGCACATCCCCATATTAGAAAGATTATCGCAACGCTTACGTGGAATGGAATGACCAACGTGAGCACATGCGGGAAGCAAAAAAAAAACAGACGCGAATAGGGTATAAAAGAAATCGCAGAGGGCCAGCACAACACGCCCAATTCTACATTACCACACAGTTCTCGTCCTTCTCTTTACCATCCTTCTCTTTACTGCCCTTCTCTTTCTTGAGCTTTCCCTTCTCGGTGGCGTTGTTGCTTGCTGGCACGTGCGACTGCCCGGATGCCGCAGCTTGGATGATGGCGAGGCGCTGCTTTGCCCGCTCGTCGCCGGAATCTGCAGCTTTGACGTACCAGACGTTTGCTTCTAGAGGATCTCTCCGGCAGCCAATGCCCATTTCTGTAAAGTATCCACAGGCATACTCAGCTTTTGGAAGACCTGATGGAATTAGTGGACTGTACTTCGCACTGTTATCGACAAACTTACCATGCTCTGCAGCTTTCTTGGCCCATTCGTACGCCTCATTCTCATCTTTTTCCAGAACAGGTTCGGCACCGACCATGTACCAGGCGCAGAGGTTCATCATGGCCTCTGGGATATCGGCCTGAGCAGCGCAGTTGTAGTAGTGAACGGAAAGCGCAGCATCCTTAGGGCAGCGCAATAGGCCATGTTCGTAGGCTTCTCCCAGCTTCAAAGCGGCCAATGGGTGACCCAGTTCGGCAGACTGGGTAAACAGCTGCACCGCGTACACTTCGTCCTTGAAAATGTCGTCTCCGAAGCCCGTCTCGTGCAGCAGACCAAGCTCATACGGCGCAATGTTGTACTGGAAGTCGGCCGACTCGGTGGCTCGCTTCAGCCACTTCAATCCCTCTCTGTACTTGTTCTGGAGACCCATATCGCCTGTCAAACAAGCCTTTCCGAGTCGTGTCGCAGCTCCAGGATGATTCTTGGACGCAGCAGCACGGTAAAACTGAACCGCCTTAGCGTAGTCCTTACGGCAGCCCCAGCCAAACTCGTAGCAAAGTGCGGCACGGAACCCTGATTCAGCATGGCCGTGTTTGCTAGCAGCTACAAAGAGGGGAAATGCACGATCGTGGTCCGGCTTGTCCTTGTTGAATAGACCGGACGCGTACCCATCGGCGAGGTAGTACTGCGCGAAAGGATAGCTGCGGTCGGCTAACCTTTGGAGAATCTGTCGTGCTTCCTTCAGCAACTCTGTGGGGTTCATGCCGTGATCGACACCGCTATTCTCTGTCGCCAGAACCTCGCGGGCCACTTGTATCATGAACAGCGCAAACTCGTATTGCACGGCAGTATCCTGTGTCTTCTTGACGTTTGCCCTGTACATTTCCAGCGTCTTCTTCTCGTCGAGCAGGGAGGCATTCTGGCCCACAACGCCCCGTAGACCTGCATTGCCAAAGTTTGTCGCAGGAGCGATTTGCTGGTTGTACGGGAGGTTGGTCAGATCGATGTAAGACGACTCCGGCCTAAAGTCGGGGGAGCGGCGGCTCGTTGATACGGGGCGGGCGTAAGGGTTTGGTGATCCGCTAGGTGATGGGGTTCCAACCACAGAGAGGCGCGGGGATTCTGTGCGACCTCGCATGTTCAGCTCTGAGCCGAGTGTGTATGCAGAGTTGGGTCTTGGAACCGTGCTGCGCGGGACTTGCAGCTCGCCCTCCTGCGCATGGCTGTTGAAATAGCTGTTGCGCCCGCTATTATTCGACGAGTGCTGGGAGCCGCCATTCGGCGATTGTGCGGTTTCGCGGGGAGGATATGTTGCAGCCGGCGGGGTTGGTTGGCTCGGGTAGGATACGGGCCGGTATTGCTCTTGGGGAGTGTATATATGGTCCGCCTCGTCGTGTGCATTTGCGACGTCCATCTCTGCAACGTGCGAGAACCGACTCCCGTACGAGCCGTCGCTAATATGCAGTCGCTTAAAGGGAATGTCCTGTGCGGGTGGAATCGCGCTCCCCGAGAATCTGTGCTCAATGTCTGGAGTTTCTCGCGAGGGTGTTCTCGAGTGGCCGTCGGAGCTTTGGTTGAAAGAAGAGCCGGACTGTCTCGAGTCGCGTCCGCCTGCTGTGTCGTGGTGCTCGGTGATGCTGAAAGAGGGCGTTGAGGAGTGGCGCGCGGCGGGGGGTTTGCGCTGCTGGAAACCACTTGAGCCGTTCGAGGCGGGAGGATGCGCGCTGTAGGCTTCTTGGTCGGCTGGAATGGGTGGCAATGCCCTGGATGGTGGTGTCGAAGCGACCTGGGACATGGCTAGAAAAAGGCGAATCCCCCTTCGTTAGACCTCTGGTTGCAGTCTTATGTCCGCCTAAGTCCTGACTCGCTGGAACGGCGGGGCTCTAAGATGGTGGTGCAGTCCTAGCGACAAAGAAATCCGCGCATGCGATAAGAGACCGTCTGCCGTGTGGATCCTCCCTACTCGCACAATTCACTGTTAGTACTTGAATTGCGGTGTGACGACGGGCTGGGATACTGTTCGCCAACCTCGGCCTCAGGATGCGCACCCTGGGATGATGATCTACGGTACAGAAAAGGATTAGACTTACAGGAAGCGGAGTGGAGGGTTCGCAGCTTCGGCACTTGGACCCTGAACAGAACGCGAACAGGTAGTCTTCTGGCTCAACTTTCAACCTGCAACTTTCGCGCCAACAGTTCTACGTAGCAGGCAAGGCAAGTGGGAGGTTGACGCTTTTTGAAACCCCACCCGATGCAGGCAGACCCTCGTATAGTATGGCGAATAGTGGACTGGGCGGCAGAGGCCGGCTCGCTGAGGAAGCGAAAGGGTGTGTGACTACAGTTGAAACACGAGCACTATCGATCTATTCGGCAAGAACCGAAAGGGGCGCGAGTAATCGATGGCGGCTCACGGGGGATTATTGGCAAATGTGGAGGAGCTTCTGCATGTACATGGGCATGCGTCGATATTTGACTACTGGCCCCAGGGCTGGGCGCTGTTTGAGACACGTACGCAGTGAGTATTAGGAAGGTGGCGTCATCAACCATCTGGTCACTCTCCAAACGTGAACGGCAGAGTTTGTTCAGGTGGTCGGGCAGACATGTTGAGGCTTGACAGTACCTAGAGACTACTTATTCAAGCCACCGCTGCCTCCGAAGCTCCGCCAGCGACTATCGATTCCTATACATGTGACAAATGCTAGCTAGGTAATGAGCCGTCCATGGCAATCCGCGCGGGTGGAGCTGCCGCCCTGCAGGGCTCAGGATGGAGACATGGAAGAGTGTGGAGCTGCGCCTATGTGAATAGACCCTGACTCCACGCGTTCAGTCATTCAGCTCGACGCAAAGCACAAGGCGTCAAGTGGAAATGCACCGCCAAAGCTCAGCGCAGGTCCACTCGTACATGAGGAGAAGGATGGGGCACAGTCCTTTTTATTTCAGGCAACCTGTGCATTGCACGCGCGCGGTGTTGACATGCGGTAGTGGTAGTGGCGACCGCCCTCGGCGTCAATAGAAATAATGGACCGGTGGGCTGAGAAGCTGAACATCCCTTACATGAAGACCGCCGGGTACGTTGCGAAAAAGGGCGCGTTTTGGGTTAATGTTTGGGGATGTTGAAAAGGAGAGGTGAGGTTAGTGATAGGGAAATTGATAGTACGTCGATCCAGGGTAACCGTTTGGCTCACTGGGCTGCAGGATTTGGTGCATGCAGGGGTCCGCTCATGTAGCAGCGTCCCTAGGTACAGCCTGAGGGCTCTGTGGTGTGACAGCGACATCTGTGGGGAGAGGCATGAGGATAGAGAGATCACGTAGTACTACTGCAGTATCGCCGAGGAGGACACTGGAAAATGCATGCCTCGACAGCCGGAGTCTCTGATCATCACGAAGTCAGAAGATGTTCCCGTGTTTATGTATGCTCTAGCGATGGCCTTGTGCTAGTGGCGGAACGAAAGCCCCAAAATAGCACCCCCCTGGCCAACTTCGCCCCCATCAGCCATCGCTCTAGCAACACCTATTGTATCGCCCGGGGTCTCGTCGGTTTTCCTCGTCGCTCGTTA